GGTGCCACGGCTCAGTCTCTTATAACGACTGCTAAGAAACCTCCCACCAGGGCGGTTAGAGCTCAGGGAACTTCTGCCTTGGACCCATTTGAGATCAATCAAGTAGAGAGGCGGTGGCAGCCACAGGACACAGACGGAGATGGCAGGGTAGGCAGCCAGGAGGGGTGGCGGATTTTCCAGAATTACTACTGCAGTTACCTACTCATCGCCACTGGGTGCCAGGCACTGTTCTCATTCGACACCCTCCTTCTCACTGAATTCTCACAGATCCCCGTGAGGAAATGTCCCATTTCAATGATGAGGAGACTGAGGCTCAGTGAGGCTAAGGGACCTGTGGTGATGACTCAGCTAGTAAGGGGCAGAGCCGGGTTCGGCCCCGTGTGTGTGGCTCCTAGGGAGTGCTTTAACCAAGGCCATCACCCGCTGCCCACAACAGAGCCCAGAGGAAGTCTCCAGAGAAATCGCCAGAGAAAGTGTCCAGGCTGTTAAGGCGTCAGGGTGGGTTCCTGCTGGATGGTGAGGTGCCAGTTTAAGGGGTAGGGCCCAGGCTTCCCCTCCCCACCCCCCCAGCAACACACTGGGCTTTGCTAAAATGCTGTTTCCACATCTGGGGCCAGGGCCGACCTCCCAGGCCTCGTGAGGACATTAAACCTTCAAGGCCTTGGAGCGGGGGCACAGGGAACTCTCTGGGACTGAAGTGGGGTGGGCGCCCCAGAGCTGCCTGTTCCCAGAGCTGTCTGCTCCCAGGTGAGACAGGGGCTCCAGGCCTATGTCCCAGGCCAAACCCAGGGCTTCAAGGCCACGGCCACAGAGCCTGATCCTTCTCCGTGTGCCCCCTCTCCCCAGAGAGTCCAGCTTCCTAAGGCTGCAGCCACCGCCTCAGGTCTCCGAGCCAGCTGCCGAGCCGTTGCCTCCTTAAAATGTCCCACGGTCCCCTCGAGCCCATCACGGCCATCCGGTGCTCCGCATCGCTGCCCCCACTGCCATGTGTGCTCAACTCCCTCTGCTCCTCCCCCACCTGGTCTCAGCAAGTGTCACCACTGCCCACCCTGTGCCAGAAGCCCAAGCGTCACCTCTGACCCTTCCTGTCCCACACGCACTTCATCTGCTCTGTGGCCAAGTCCTGCGGTGGCTTCCCCGTCCATGTCCCTCAGGCCCCTCCTAGCTGTCTTTCCCCCTTGATAGGGACCCCAGCCCCCCTGCTTAGCTTCCTCTTCCCACTGGTCCTGCCTCCTCCACCACCTTCCCAGCCGTCCTCCACAGCCCCTCCTGGCTAAGACCCTCCCCTGGTTTCCTACAGCCTCTCGGGGACCCCCACTCAGCTCGGCCCCTGCACCCCATCTCTCAACTCATGTGTCCCCATGCCTGGCCTTCTTGCCAGCCCCATGGACTGGGCTCCCTGCTCCCCCGGGCAGTTTCTCTCCTCCCTGCCTCTGCTGGGCGACAAGCTGCCCCCTGCGCTGGCCTGTTGAACCTCTCCCTACTGGTTCTTTAAGTCACATGGAGGTGGGGGCCCCTTCCTCCAGGAAGCCTTTTCTGGGTCCCTTTGGCCTGGGTTTGGGCCCACCTTGATGCTCCCTGATGTAGGGCACTCACTGCATCCACCCACTGAGTCATTGCTGCCTGCTTAGGTGTCTGTCACCCCAGAGGGTGTGAGCTCCTAGAGAGCAGGGCATTTGGAGGGTGGGGGGAGGTGGGGAGGAGAGGGCTCTGACTTTCCATAAACTGATTCTGGAAGAGGAGTTGGGGTGTGGGTCTGGGGAAGGGGGTGGGTGGGTCAAATAACTGGGCTCAGTGGTCCTGTGGGCCCAGGAAGGCCATAAGCAACCTCAGCTGTGGCAGGGGTGGGGGAGGGGTATCCCTGGGGAAGTCCAGAGAAGGTCAGAGGGACTGGGGTGGGGGCGGCATGTGGGAGGTGTGTGGGGATCCCTGGAGTACATCTGTGGGGGCTCCCAGGGCTGCTGGGACGGGGCCGGTCAGTAAAGGCCTGCTCTGCCCCCAGAGGTCCTGTCAAGTCGCATGGAGGGCATGATGGCCTCCTACACGCCGCTGGCCCCACCACAGCAGCAGATCGTGGCCATGGAGCAGAGCCCCTACGGCAGCAGCGACCCCTTCCAGCAGGGCCTCACGCCACCCCAAATGCCAGGTGACCACATGAACCCCTATGGTAAGCCGCCCCACCCCCTGCCCACCCAAGCACCACCCCTGCCCCCTGCCTGGCCTGGCAGGCCTGGGGCCATGACAGCCACCTCCCACCCCAGGGCCAACACAGCCTATGTGCCTCCTCCTGACAGGAAGGGGACACCCTCGAGACCCGTCCTATGACCCCCCAACCCATCTGGTCAGGCACTGCCAGCAGGTCATCCTGTCCCTCCCTTGCCTCCAGCCACACAACCTGTAGGGCTGACAGGGCCCCCAGGAGCCTCAGCCTGCATCCCGGTACTGACGCCCCTTCTGCCCCCCAGGGAATGACTCCATCTTCCACGACATCGACAGCGATACCTCCTTAACCAGCCTCAGTGACTGCTTCCTCGGCTCCTCCGATGTGGGCTCCCTGCAGGCCCGCGTGGGGAACCCCATTGACCGGCTCTACTCCATGCAGAGTTCCTACTTCGCCTCCTGAGAGCCAGCCGGGCCGTACGGACGCTTGGGCAAGGGTCCTGGGGTAGGACCGAGGGCCGCAGTGGCCAGCCTCGCCACCTCCAGCCCTGCCACCTGCACAGACTCTACAGACAGCCATACGGTGCCCTCCCCTCGGCCAGCCAGGCCTGGCTAACGTGCCTGCTGGGCCACAACCGGACAGGCAGACAGGCACAGCCTGGGCAGGGGCTGTGTCCTGCCCTCAGAGACCATATCACCCCCAGGGACCCAGAGCTCTTGGACAGCCACTCGCCTCCCAGCCCCACCTCGGTCTCCATCACCTCTTTCTCCCTCTCATCTCCTTTTTGGGAAACTGAAATTCTCTCTATTTTTTTAAACGTCCTCTCTGTGTCCAGCCAACCTCCATGGCCCAGGCCTAGGCCAAGGCAGGGCCCCCGTGCATGCCCTAGGACGGTGTACGCTGTGCCTGTCACCTGTGAGGAACGTGTGTACCTGTACCCTGTGCTGGCGCCCACCTCCATCTCTGCAGGCAGGCCCACTGGCCTAGCATTACCCCACCCAGCCAGAGCCAGGGGCAGACATGGAGACGAGGATAGACGGAGCCCAGGCAGACCCGAGGGGACAGAGGCACACACACTTAATGGCACCCTCATGCAGATACGCACACAGCGATGTAGAGACACTGAAAGAGACAAAGAGGCCTCTGCGGGGCAACCCTGCTGTGTCAGGAAGGGGAAGAAGCCCAGATAGGGTGAGGGACCCCCTCTTCTTTATAGCAATAGGAGAGGAAGAGGGAGGGGAGAGGAGGGGGTAAGCATGATGCAGGTAGACTCAAATGTATCCTAGCCTCGGCCCAGATGGAAGCTCCCTGGACAGGCCCCGACCCAGCCAGCTCCAAGGGCAGAGACACAGCCTCCAGAACCAGGCAGAGCTGGACAAAACAGCATAAACTCCAGGTAGAAAGGGACCTCACAGGTCACCCACTTGGTACTCTAAGCCCCCTCTGCCTCTCCTTGCATACCTCCTATGACAAGGAGCCCACTACTTCATCAGGCCCTGCCGATTTTACCTCTACCATTTTCAGCCCTGGGACCTTACTTTTTTAAAGCCAGGCTTTTCCAATTTCTCCAGTTCTTCCTCTTAAAACTGTGCCCCCAGCTCGGCTCCAGCTTTCTCTCTAAAGGTATGGAACAGATATAACCCAATCATCCCACTGACATCAGCCAGCCAAAGTGAGCAGGCCCATCACCTCCCCCACTGTACGTGCCCTGCCTCTGTTAATATGGCCCGAGATCCAATGAATGGTTCAGGCCACATAACCTTGGAAACTCATCCTGCCCTTCTGTAACGGAATCCTCTGACCACACACATGTGACAGCTAAGCCACATCTCTCCTCTGTGTGTGTGTTGGCTCTATGCCTCTCACCTAAGGCATGTGGACCCTCGGGGCCTCTCTCTGATTGGCGTTGGCACATTAAGCAGCCCTCCTTGGGTGATATTCGAGCTGTACTCCCAGCCCAGTTTTGTGCCCTGCTAGAAGCCAGATACACTATATCAACCCCCACCCCAACCCCCTCAACTCTAACCCTGCCAAAGAGAAAGTGAGGTCAGGCTGATGGGCCCTGCTCGCAGTGACCCTTGCTGGGTCCTGGAGGTCACTGTGTTCTCGGCCAGGTGCTCACAGCCCTGCCTTGAATTCTAACACGCAGCCCTAGGCTGCCACCCTGAGTTCTGCCCGTCTGCCTTTGAGCAAATGGGACGATGGCTGACCCTCTGCCTTTGGGCCCCTCTGCCTGGCCCTCACTGGGATCCTCAAAGTTCAGCAACCTGCTCTGTGGTTTTGCTCCTCTGTCCGCTGGGGAGGCCTCAGTCCCTCCAGAGGGACCAGGCCCATCTCCCCACCCCTCCTGGCTCCTGTGGTCGAATGTCACCCTGCTCTTACCAGGGCACTTGTCGGGGCGGGGGCGGGGGGACGTGGCTCAGTGTCAGCTTTCAGGCCAAGTGGCAGCCTGGCCCTTCTGGGCTCTTCTTGGTCCACATAGAACTTCCACAAGGATCTCAGCTGATGTCCTCGGTCCTTCTGCAGCCTCGGCCCTTCTGTGCCATCTTGTGCTCCTGGGGCCACCACTAGTCCCTTAGGCAGCCATGCTGGTTTCTTGAGAGATGCTCGCCTTTCTCCTTTCATGCTCACACAGTCTGAATCATGGCGGGGGCACTTGGGGCATGGCCAGGGGAGCCGATCCAGCCCCCAGGACACCAGGCCTCCTCTCCCAGGCTCTCAGTTGAAGGAACATCAGGATGGGTCATCTGTTCCACGCCCCTTATTTTGCAGCTGGAAAATCTGGGCCAGGAGAGGGGAGGGGACCAGCCCTCTCATAGCCGGTCAGTGACAGAGCTGGAGCTAAGAGCAGGGACTGACTCCATGCTGGCCCCTCGTCCTCCCCGTCTGGTGAACAACCTCCAGCTAGGAGGCATGATTTGTCTCAGCCTCTCTTGCCACTCCAGGGCCTCACAAACCCAGAGTCCAGCCGGGGCTCCGCCCTCGCCATTGCATTGCCCCCTGCCAGGAGCTGGTACAGGGACACCCATGCACGTGACCCACAGATTATCAAAGACAGAAGGGACCTCGGAGAACTTCTCATGCTTGAGTCACCCCCGCAGCTGTGGTTAGGTAGCTCCTTCACTGAGCCTGCTGAGGCTTGCTGCCCCCCAGTCTCCCCCAGGCTCTCCCAGACCCTGATGTTCACTCTGCCCAGCCCTGGACTGGGCGTGGGGACATGGATGAACAAGAGGTAGGGCCTGCCCTCGAGGGGCTGTCTCCTAGGAGAGAGCTACACACACTGCCCCAGACCTCCTTGAGGACCCAGCTCTCAGATGAGAAACCTGACGCCCAGAGAAGGGGGGCAAGCGTTCAGGGTCACCCAGCAGAAGCTCACAGAGCTAGCAAGCCCGCCGGGGTCAGGGGTGAGCCAAGAGGAGCAGGCTCCTCCCACTGAATGGGAGGAAGTACAGTCTTGACTTGGGGGGCAGTGAGTAGCCAGGATCCTCCTTCCGGGGTGGGAGGTAAGGGTCTGGTCTCCGGAGGAAGAGGCAGAAAGTGAGTGGCAGGCTGGGAGGAGGCCGCTGGGGAAGTTGAGGCTCAGAAGGAGGAAGGCCTCTGCCCCGGGGAACACAGCGAATGAGAAGGGACCGAGGAGGGATGAGAAGGTAGGCTGGTGCCCCCGGCCAGCACCTCATCTGCCTGGCCTGCTCCGTGGACAGAGGGACATGATGGTTCTAAGGGTCAGACCACGGGTCCAGCAGAGCCTGTAAGAGAAAGGGTCAGTGCAAGTGGGCTGGAAGTCTCAGGAGGCTTCCTGGAGGAGGCGGAGGCGAAGGGGTCCCCTGTGTCCAGATGAGCAGGGCCCAGCAGGGTCAGGTCCCCAGCACAGGGTTGGGGCAGCCTCTTCTCCTTTAGGGGGGTTCAGCTTCCTCACCCACCCATCTGGGGCTGGTGCCCCACTCACTTCGCACACAGGGATCCTCCCGGGAGGGAGAACTGGCCGAGCCCTGCCCGGCCCCACCTGGGGTGAGGTTCTCACCTGCCGTCTGGGAGAACCCCCAGCTCGGGGGTTCACTCCACCCTGTTGGCAAGGGGAGTCACACTCACACGCACGCACATAGACACACACACTCACACCCGGACGCACACGGAGGCTCACAGACCCACACTCCCAGGCACACAAGGCCTGGGGGCTGAGGAGCAGGAAAAGTTCCTCCAGCCTTTGGCTCCAATGAGCCTCTTTGCTGGTGTCCCCCTCCCCTCACCGGGGCTCCCAAAGGAGCCCGGCCCAGCTGGGTGTGGGGACCGGGCCGCTGGCCATTCCTATTTTCCTTGTACAGACTCACTGCCTACCCGCCATCCCCAGACACATTTTATTTAATAACTTGTCATTGTTAAATTATTTATTAGCGTTTACCACATCACCACCCCCACCCTGCCCTCCACTCTCACCTCCTGCCTCTTCCCACAAAAGCAGAAAATGGAAACAACAAAAAATGAGACATCAGTATATTTGTAAATAAACCAACCTGTACACGCCTGTGGTGCCTCTCCTTGGGGGGAGGGGTTGTGCTGGGCCTGAGCCAGGTCTGCATCAGATGTTAGCAGATTCTTGGTGGCCACCAGGGACAGCAGGTCAAGGAGGAGCGCTTGGGGTCCCTTGTCTTGCCCAACCCGTCCTCTGGCCTCATTCCATAATCCTCACCGCCCATGCTGGTCCCATCCCAACCATGAGCCACCTCAATCCTTAAAACAAACACACCCATCCCATCTCGCTCCGTCCTGCTCCCCAATACTCACTCATTCATTCAGCCAACCAATATGGCGGGCCTCTTATGTGCCAGCTGCCAGGCTGAGAACCAGGGATTGACTGGTGGTGCTTACCTCAAGGAAGTAGTGTGATAAGCTCAGTTGGGGGACAGTAAGGACTTGTTACAGGGGTACCCAATCTCATCTGGACTGAGGGAGCATCATGTAAGGCTTCCTGGGAGGAGCTACATGTCAAGCTGAGATCCAAAGCTATCCAGCATGGCAGCGAGCAGGCGAGGAGGCGAGGAGGAAGAGTGCCTGGGAGGCTCTAGGCTTGTATGAAACCTCAAGAGCAGGCAAAATCTTGTGCATCTCCTAAATTGCAAGAATAGCTAAGTTTGAGGGTACAGAAGAAGCAATGAGTCTGGAGGGAAGGCTAGACCATCCAGGGTCTTGCTGCCGAGTAGAGAATAGATCCAATTAGGTCTGGTGGACTGGGTGGACACAGGGAGGTCAACTGGGTCACCTTTCTCACTTAGGTAAGAGTTGACAATGGCTTGGCAACAGTAGGGAGAGGGAGAAAGAAGAGGACAGATCCCTGAGATAATGGTGACATAAGGGAGTCAAAGTGACATCTAGGCTCCTGGATCACTGAGATGGGGGTTCCTGGAACACTCTGGTCTGGGGCTTGTGGAGCTGAGGGTCTCGGGGGGTATCCAGGTGGACAAGTCCTGGAGCAGGGCTGGACCTCAGAGGGGCCAGAGACTGAGCACCGAGGTGTTCAACAGCCAGGTGGGCGGTCACTGAGGCACAAGGTGGGTGAGCTGGCCCAGGAGAACGCAGTGTGGGAGAATGGAGAAGCAAAGGCCAACCCCTTGGAAATCATGAGGACTTGGGACCGGACGGGGCCTTGGGATCCAGAGGAGATCGTGGCAGGGCTGCAGAATGGGTGGAAATGGCAGCGACTCAAAGAGATTTGGTTCTCAAAGTGTGTTCCTTGAAATCTCAAGGTTTTTCAGAGTTCCTTGAGGAGAATCAGTGTGTGTGTGTGTGTGTGTGTGTGTGTGTGTGTGTGTGTCTGTCTGTCTGTCTGGATAGCTCTGTGGCTCTGCCCGGGTGTACTGTGCATGAAGTTGGGTGTCTGCAGGTATCAGTGTATTGTGCACAGCTGGGTCTACCCGCAGGCTGTCTACATCTGCATGTGGATGTGTGTCTGCGTTTTGGTGAGGATGTTTGTATAACCACACGTGGGGCTATCACTGCACATCTTCAGGCACCCGGGAAGCTTCTGGGCCTCACATCCACAAACCTGATGCTGTAACATTCGCTCCCTTCCTTCCCTCTCCCCCTGATTGCTCCTTCTCAGCCTCTTCTCCCCACTCCAGCTGTGGGAATCACCTGGAAGCCACCTCTGGCTTCTCTCTGTCTGCCGGCGGGCACCAGCGCCCCCTGGAGGAACTCTCTCCTGAAACCTCTGGGTGATTCTGTCTTGCAGCCACATACATGGTTTCTGGGCATCTAGACATGCTGAGGACTTCCAGTTCAATTCTTCCTTTGCACCCTGCAACACCCCAAGAGGCGGGTTATTAAGGTCCAAAGTTTCAGAAGGGAAACCCGAGGCTCAGAAGGAGGAAGCCAGCGGTTCAATATGACAAAGCTGACAAGGGCAGTAGAACCAGAGTTCAAAACCATGTTTAGCTGCAAACCCATGGCCTTGCCACCACCCTGGCTGGCTCCCCAAGCCCACACTCTCTGGCCCTGGTATCTTGTCCTCCAAGGTCAGGCCCAGGGACCTGAGATTCAGGTCCCTGACTTCACTGAGGTTCAGAGAAATTAAGTCATTCGACCCGGACTGCACAGCACAGAGGCAGGACGAAACTGGGTCTTCGTGTCCAGGCCTCAGGCCTAGGCTCGTGTGAGAGGGGCCTCCAAGCTCCCCGCAGTCCCCCAGCAGTGGGCTGCCGACTCTCTTGCCTACGGCAACCGTTTAAAATCCTGTCACTAAAAAATGTGTGTGGGGGGGGGTAAGCGTTGAAGGAGAGGAGCTGTGCTAATTCATTGCTCCCACGTCTCCTGCCTGTCCTCTCCCTCTAGCCCAGAAAGTGAAGTTATAGGAGGGAGAGGAAGTATAGGCTGAGTCTCCGGAGATAGGAGAGGGTATAGGCAGCTTCAAGCAGGAGGAACACTAGCCAAGTCCCCACCACTGCCAGTCACAGGCTGCCCCTGGACTCGGGCAATGCAGCTGGCCTGCTGTCCAATGGGCAGCGAGGCGGAGAGGCAGAGCGTCAGGAGGCTGCTGCATTCCACGTGTCGCCTGTGTGTGCGGGAGGAGCACCCCTCCCAGGAGACAGGCTGTGCACCACGCGCTGGGCCAAGCCTTGCACTTCTTGTTCTCCCAGAAGGTCCTGTCCTGCAGTCAGCACGGCTCTGCCTCAGATGCCTCCTTAGGCCTCTGAGTGTCCCCGGACCCCATGTCACGCGGACCTTGACCCCAGGCACTGAACAATGGATAGGAGGACTCTATTTATGGCTTTGACTTCAGAGCAACCCCTGGGGCTTGACTGCAGAATGGAGACAGCCCCCTGATTGCTCATCGTTTTGGTCTTCATCCCTTGCATGGCAGACCTTCCCAGGCCCCAGGTCCACCTGGGCAGAGCACACGAGTGACGAGAGAGGCATAAAGGACTCAGAGTGGGTAGGTGGTTTGTCAGCTGTGCCTGGGAAATCAGGGAAAGCCTCCTGGAAGAGGAAATAGCCAGAACAAATTCTCAGAGCTGGGAGCTGTAGGCAACCAGTGAGGGGGGCACACCCAAGTTGCATTCAGGGTCCAAAGGCCAGGGATGGCAGGAGGTGAGCTTCTGGTGGTGAGTCCAGTGCCCACGCTGGGCAGTGGGAGGACACCTGCCATATGCCCATCTTCTGATTTGGCTGGGAATAAAGTCAGCACATTATGAGATTTTAAATAATACAGAGGAGAAGAGTAAAACCTTGGATTGTGAGTAACTTGATTTGCGAGTGTTCCACAAGACAAGCAAACATTTCTAATACATTTTAACGTGGCAAAAGAGCGATGCCTTGCAATACAAGTAGTTTGTTTCAGGAACAACTTATGCTCGCAAACCAAGGTATTACAGTATATGTATTGTACTTATTTGTGGCCTAAAGAGAAATAATAAAAAACAAAAACGCCTGTATCCACTCCCTAGATAAAGGAAGTGCACATTTTCAATTTCTTGGAGCCCTTGACTATGCCCAGCATGGTCCCAAGAGCCTTTATGTCTTCATTTGGAGAATCCTGGTCCAAATAAGAAAGATAGTGATGCACAGAAAGTTCTTGGCACAGATTCTGCGGGAATGGGCTCAGCGGCAGGCAGGCTCCATTGCATCTCCCGCCTGCCGCAGAACACCCAGGCACCTTTCTATGGGCCGCACCCCACTTTCATTCCTCGTCTCCCGTATCAAAGCTTGGTGTGCTTTGCTACTAAATCCCCAAGACATACCAGAAGCTATCAATAGTTTGAATTTCGCTACTAAACCTGCAGTCAGCCGTCAGGCCACAAGGTGGCGATCGAGAGTCAGGCAGGCGAGAGCCGGAGCCGCTGCCGGGCTCGGAGATGATGCTCTCCGTGGATGGGGGAGCCTTGGGCTTACAGCCAAAAGGGAAGAAACCCTCCTCCTCGGAGGCTTCTGTGCGCCAGGTACTGTGTAGGTGGGCGATCCAGGGTATTCTTCACAACCCTGAGCAGTAGGTGTGAGCATTCTCATTTTACAAAGCATGAAAGTGGACTCAGAGATGTTAAGTAACCTGCCTGAGCATACCCACCTAGGAAACGGCAGAGCTGGGGCAGTGACAGAGACGCATGAGGGGGAAACTATAGGGAAGTGAGAGAGAGAAAGCTAGTAACCTCTTTTTGAGCGCTTGCTTCAGCCACTCCCCGCCTTGTTGGGCCCAACCCACTGACTTCTCACACTGGCCTGGGAGGCAGATACTGTCACTGCCCCCATTTTATTGATAAGGAAACTGAGGCTCAGGGAGGCTAAAAACCTGGGGAGGCTGTTTGTCCTCAATACCCTGGCTCCCGAGGAATCAGCCTTCCCTGCACCCAGATAGAGGGCCACAGGGGTGAGCAGGGGACCCCTGAGTTCCCCCCACCTGCTAGCCCTGCCCAGCCCCTTCTCGAGGAAGGTCAGCAGGCTCAGGCCCTGCCCAGGCGAGGGCAGCCTCACCTTCCCCAGGCAGGAGGGGACTCCGTCACCAGAGCAAGACCCAAGGTAGACCTGGGTGCTGACCCCTATGGACGCTCCCAGAACAGGGGAGGTGGCTCACAGCAGGGAGCCCCTGATCAGGGGTCAGCGTTTCATTCTGATCGTTTCAGTCACTGGGACCTACCAGTGGGGGCGGCTGATCTGGTGGGGGCCTGGGGCTCTGGGGTTTGTTGTGCCCCCGACCAACCCAGCTTTCAGGGAATGCGTAGTACAAGGCTGTCAAGCTCCAGACCCAGCTTGCTGGTCATGACCTTGGACAGGTCTCCGTTTCTTTATAAACTGAAGGGTGAGCACAGAGCCATCATGAGGGTCACATGAGTAAGTGAGCCAAGCCTAGTGTTCATCTGACCCCAGGCACTCAAACAGTATGGCTAATATTATTCA